TCACAACCAAACTTCAAAACACACTTTTAATTAGAAATAATCTTTACAAATTCTATTTACCTAGAATTATGTGATTCTTATTTTTCTTTTTCAAAACCTAATCCAATTAAATTCATCCAGTCTAATTAATTTTATTCAACTAATTATGGATTTAATTCTTCTAAATTACTCAAACAGAATATTTGACCATTCACTATCTAATTAGCGTTGTGAACTCAAATTAATAACATTCTATTCTATAAATTGACTTACATAATTTTTTTGAAAAATAATAATAATTGAGTTGAAATTATCCTAATAAACAAAAAGAAAATATTGGCTGATCAAATTAGCTTTGCTTTTTCTAATATTTAACTAACCTAAACCAAATTTTTTAAGTTCTGAGTTTGGCGATTAGCAAAGCAATTCGAACACTTATTTCTGTTTTTTCTTACTACAATTTGTTTAATAATTCTCAGGTCATTGAATATGGTAGAACAGTCAAAAAGTTTCGACAAGACTTGGACTAATGGATACAGAGACAAGCTTAGACCTGAAACTATGTTGGCTGATGAAAGATAAAAAATATTACTTTAGCTGAGATCAATTAAGCCAAAAGTTTTTTGCTGTTAGGGACAAGTTAAGTGGAAGGTAATACTATGAATTTGAGGGTTTTAGAAAGAAAGAGACAGTTTATCCAGTACATCATCCAGATCATTTAAGTTCTCATCAGAGCGAAGATAAACCTCTTTATCAATGATTTATAAATATACAAAATGGAAAATATTATATTATAAATAGAATAATAATAAATCTTAGAGGATGGTAGGAATTTAATGCTTAATTAGGGTTTGCTTGATATCATTCGAAAGATTAAAAACTCAGAAAAGGAATTAACAATCCTTGTCCTGGGTTTGGAATATGCAGGAAAAACTACTATTGTGAAGGCATTGTTAAATGAAGATATAAATCAATTCAGTATGAAGGAACAAGAAGAATTTAAATTTAATATTTTGGACGTGGGAGGTTTTTAGGTAAATCCAAAACTTTTATAGAAGAAACTACAATTTGTGAGGAACTTCTATGAAAATACAGATGCTTTGGTATTTGTTATTGATTCGTCTGATTTAATGAGTTTGGAAGAGGGAGGCAAGGAGTTGGATATATTGCTTGGAGAGCCTGAACTCAAGAAAGTACCTCTCTTGGTATTTGCAAATAAATAAGAAATGGTGCAAGCCCTTCCTGCTGACGAGGTTAGTATTCCATCTAATTAAGATCTCTGATAGTTTGAAATTAAATAAAATCACTGATAGACAATGGTCTATTGTCGCATGTTCAGCCAAAACTCAAGAAGGTTTACAAGAAGGAATGGAATGGCTCATTAAGACCGTCCAGAGCA